GTGTGTATGTGCGTGTGTATACATTGTACATTGTACATTGACGTTTATATATACATATATATATATATTTATAATATATTATATGTGTGTGTAAAATATATATACATATATATATGTATGTGTGTGTGTGTGTGTGTGTGTGTGTGTGTGTGTGTATAATTATATATACATATACATATATATATATATATATATATATAAGATGAAGACAAAAATATGTAGACATAGGGATATATAGATCTATATAGATGTGATGTAGATATAGATATAGATGTAGATGTAAACATAAAGAAAGTGCATATAAATAGAATACAAATTTATTTGTATATATAAATATGCGTGAATATATATAAAATATACATATATATATATATATATATAGAATTCAGATTCCGATATTCCGCGATAAGTCATATACACTGCAGATACTTGAACTTAAACGTGGTAGTAAAATGGGATATGAGAACAGAACCGCACATTACACGACAAATAACAACTCATGAACACACCCCGTTGGTCTCGATGATTCCAGAGCTGATATTATCTGCGCGTCCATTTCCCCTTCATTTTTATGATGGTGCCTCCCACTGCTATCGCTACTTTCGCCAATACTTTTTCTTAATTGATCACCAGGATCGCTACCCGAACCACTATCAGAAGCAGTATTCTGCTCCTGCATAAGCGCATCCCTATCTTCAGGATCGGCGTCTGTGATATCTGTGAACTTGCTTTTCATCTTCCGGTGAACACGCCCACTGTGTTTTGATTCGCGCTCCGTAACTAGCCCATATCTCCGCACAGTCGAGTCTCCATTCATGAGACGTGGCATAGTTAGACCTCTAGGCCATTCAATGCGATAGCCCGATTCCACGACTGACTTTAGCATACCGTGCATATAGTTCCTAATGGAAAAAACACATAGATAAAGCAAAGGCGGGATTAGCAGTTACTTCAAATGATGAGCACGTGGCGCAAATATATACACGTACTCGGGTTGATTCTGGACTGCGAGAGGCGAGTGCACATCTAACAGAGTATTGTATACTACAACTAAGCAGATATACACAATCCGAGACTATTAGCAGGCCACATACGTTTTCATTCGCAAGAACTCGACCATCTCCAGCTCAATGGAAATGCCTCCCATAGCACGCACGGTACCGTCAGGGGCGTACAGCGGAAACTTCCAAGACATGAAGGTACGACATCCTTCACCCGGAAAGGGGACTTCTTCCAAAATCTGAGACAAAGACAATCAATACAGTGCGAATGGTAAATTAATGCACAACTTCACAGATATGAAAGGACCAGAACGGTGAAATATACAGTTGAAACGACGAGTTGTAGCTTAGAATAGTTGTTGAGTGAAAGTAAAAAGACTGCGTACTGGACACAAATCGTCCAGACGCGGGGCACGAGGTGCACATGTATATCAGAGTGCGCACCTTCAGGCTACCAGTAACTCATAACAGACACTTCGAACACATTTCATCCAAACGTATTCTCTGGTTGTGCCAACGTATGAATATGATCTGGCAATTTAAATATAGATCTATATTTTGCAAATGTCGAACTTGATCATACCTCCTGGTCTTCGCGGGACTCCATCACGCCTTTATCGTTAATAGCTAACTGCTTGACGACAGCCTCTGGCAAAAATGTTGCATCCGTGGCCCCTTTCCACGTATCCACAATATTGAACTGTCTTGCAAACTGCAAGGCACAGAAATCAGACGATGAAGTTAACGAATTGCTACGTCGCTGTCGGTCGATTTTCAGACACTGCATTTCTAGCATATTGCCTAATCAGGTAATGCGAAGCCGAGTTTCGACCGCAAAGATATAATCGCGGTATTGGCAGTGCCGCGATGCCTTGAATTTGAAAACAGAAGGTTTGGGCATACTAGAGAATCGTTGATCTATACTATGGATCTCAAAAAAATCAGCCTGATCTTTATTATGGATCTCAAAATGATCACCCTCGCATCATGCTAGCACTATATGATGTAGTTGAGTCGGTGCCGCCATGTGAAGTCCCTCAATGCGCTCGCCCGCTCCTAAAGGATATGCATCGCATCGTGCTAGCCAAAACATAACGCATAGAACTATCTTACCGAATCATGCTAGCCAATAAAAAAACACTTAAAATCACCTTATAGGCTCGTGAATATGAGCAACGCAAACTAAATCCTACTATATATAGACAAAAACTAAAACTTGCACATACGTTGTCGTTAACCAGCATGTAAAATCCATCGCGATCTTTAACGTATACAAACGTGTTCTCCATGCGGTTGATCATCTCCTCAAACCATGTGGGTCGCCCTTCAGACGGCGTGAGATCATCATCACACCTGCCCGGGGCGTGTACCAGCCCAGGCGTGCGTTTCTGTGTGCGTGGTGCGTGTGCAGTGGCGACGGAGTCAGTATGAGTCAAAAACACCAAGAGCCTGCTATATCGTTCAAATAGGGATACTAGTTACGCAAATCGATAAAAGCAAATCGTTCAAGGCAAATCGTTGATAAAAGAGCTCGTCGGCTCGTGTATCTGCTGCTGAAAAGTACACGAACATTTGAAATTGCATGACAACCAGCAATATCATTGTCCCGACAGTCAACTTACCAATTTAGGACGATCCATAGCCATAGACGATATATCAGCGTCTGTACCGTCGTTGGCCCCCATACCGGCAGGCTTTAAGAAGTCAAAGGCCAGATTGGCAATTGATCACTCCTTTGTTATTTATCAAGTGTGTTTGTTGGTTAGCAGAAGGTGAGCGCATCTGACTCAACACAAATATAACAAAAGCGCTTGTGTCAAGTACACGGACATTACCCGTTAGGATATCCGAAGCGATGCTAGTGAATAAAGTTACTACACGTGCACAACGCTTCTATTGTCGTTGCCGCTTACGTGTGACGAGATTCTGTATACAGATTATAGTCACATTCCTCCGTCGAAAATAGCTACTAATATGATACCCCTGACGCGGTATATTTTGTATCTGCTCTGTGCTAGTAGTCGCTCGCTACCTTTAGACCCTTTAAATGACAGTGGTGTTGGTATGTTTGCCACTGTCGAATGTCGATGGTCTGAATTATTACTCTGAGCTCGGTATATAATATATTATTTGTCATGCTCACTTCTCAAGTTCTCAATCTGTTGTGTAAATATGTCCGACTGCGCCAGACTGCCAAGTGTTGTTGGTCTTTCCGTTTCTCCGATCTGTTTGCAGCGACCAGTAATCTGTCTTCTGATACATATATTTACAAACCATAAGACCCGGTCAGAGTCGTATCAGCGAGTTCGATTTCCAAACATATTGCGCCTGAATTCTTTCTAAAAAATCCTGTTCGCCTATGAACTTCTGCTTCATTCTCTGAAGGGGATAGAGTTGTCTAGTCACTCATCAGTCGCGAGCCGAGAACTAGAGAGTTTGGACTTTTTGGTAAAACTTGTCCTTTTTTTTAACAAAAAACATAGTATATTTTTTTACTTTTCGCATAAATAGCCTCCTTCTCTCTCTCTTTTCTGTAGAAAGCTATTTATGATTTCCGGTCCTTTACTTTCATTTGTTGTCCTTTCTCGCTAAAATTGATATTGATTTGTTTTTTTAAAAAACAATAAAAAAAACGAATACAGTCGTACTTTGGTTTCCAATTTTTAGTAAAAATAAAAATTCTTAAATACAGGGTGATATGATTTTTGTTTGTTTTTTGAAACATAACAATAAACAAACCAAAGAAAGCTTCCAAATATTTCTATAAAATATAAAATAAATAACAAATTGCTCGTTGCTGTTGTCAACATTCAACAGTTCAACACACAATGACTCAACACCGTGACATTGTTTTTTCTAAAACAAAAAAAAGTCAACGAGTCGCAGACTCGCAGTATGCATTTTATAGATAAATTAAAGAATCAAACATAAATACTGTACATATATTATATATGATGAGTCATTCTTTATTTTTATTACAGTCCAAGTGTCCAACAGTCTGTTTTGTTTTGTTTTTAACTGAGGCGACTGGACCCCGCCTGGAGCCCTGGGGCCCTGGGTTCACCGTCACGCTGGCCTCTGGGGGGGACCTGGGTGAATGGCTGAAGCGGCTCTATTCATTGATTCATAGCCTTCTAAATTATACACAAGAGAAGAAGCCGAAGGCTATCCATTTATTTTATGTTTTTTAATGTTTTTAAAAAAAGAGAAAAATATATAAAACAATGTATGTTTTGTATTGTTTTTTTTCTTGGGCAAGCAAACTTGAATTGGACGCTTTACAGGTGTTTTTTTTTCTAATCATATATTTACTTATTTTAAACCCTCAAAATTTATTGTTTTGTTATGACTTTTTAAAATGACCCCTCTTGATTCTCAACGAGAGCGAGAGAGTAGAGAATGAAGAGACCGAGACTCCGAGCCTCCGAGGAGAGAGTCGAAATATACTGAATCGAAAAGAATAGAACTCTTTGTTTGTTTGTTTGTCTTTTAAACCCCCAAAACCTAAACAATCAAAACAAACCCACTCTCCACTGTCTCCGCTCTCCAGTCTCCACTCTCCAGTCTACACTCTCTAGTCTCCACTTCCAGGAGTCCCGGCCTCTCAGAACCCAAGTATCAAGTTCCTAAACTGACTTAAAAGTCTAAAACTGTCCGCCAATATATTTAACAGACACTAAAAAGAATGAAAAAATTCGCTTGTTGTTGTTTGTAGAAAAAAATAGTACCAAAAACAATGTCGGAAACTCGTGTCTCGGGCTCTGGGGCACCCTGGCACTTGGGGCGTCCTGGGCTCTCTCTACTACTATTTGCTACTCAGTTGTAAACTTGTAGGCTACTATTTGCTACTCAGTTGTAAACTTGTAGGCTACTAGTAAAGAGAGCTAGTAGCTAGAGATAGAGTAGACTCACAGCCTCTCGGGAATCGGGATCTCAGATATTGTCGGTTATAATATCCGATTACCCGCCCCGGTATGTCCGTGCGATGAGTAAGTACTCTTCAGAATTTGGTATTATTATTGGTACCTGAACGAACAGAGCAAATTTAAGAAGTTTGCAACTATGCATTTGTACTTTTTAAAAACACTTTTTACTCGCATACGTTTTCAATTTTGCGTTTACACTTTGCACTTTGTTTAGCTCTAATTTTTTTTAAAAGGAACAAAGAAAAGGATATCTCATACAAAAGCATAGCCTCCTAAATTGAACAATATAGGTTACATATGACTTTCAAAATATATAGTTTCAACTAAGCCTGTCCTTCTACGAGTTTATATGAAAACTGGATCAACTGCCTCCGCGCGCTGTTTGGGAGGATCCCTACCCGAGTGACATACCGCGGAACGCTCTCGTCTCTATTCCATAGAACGAATGGCATCCTACAAGGCTCAATCGTCGGCCCCCAGATCTTTATTATCTAGATGGATCCCTTAGCTGCCACGCTAGCAAAATTTCGGCCCAAGCTCCTCCGCTCTTATTTATATAATAGCCCGAAGCCACACATAAGAAATGACAGATATATACATCGCCAGTATGCTTGGATCGCGGGAGTTTAACCAAATCGACTATGACTCGGCGCATCGGTTGGTTGGTCTTCTGTCACACTTTTTAGGGGTGCCCAACCGCATCGCTTGATCTGGTTCTTTTCACAATCAGTACAGCGTCGGTATACGTCACGTATGATTTCTTTCAGCGCCGGGTGATCAAGCCCTGCACGAATAGCCATTTTATAAGTATGCTCATATGCTCGATGCGTTAAATTATGTATAATTTTAACTCTACTTTCGAGCTTCTCTAAGTCAGTCAGATTCTGCGTAACGCTGGCTGGATGAACCATAGTCCTGTTGGAAAGGGCAACCTCGGTATCAGAAGGGGTAGACTCCTGAGATACATAATTG